TGAACTAAATGATTGAAGTTGTTCCTTACAACTGAAATAGTTACAAATTACCAATCAGTGATATGGTTTAAGGCCTTATTACGTTAAAACAATGATTCCGGTACGATCATTGAAATGTTTAGTACCTAGCTGAGTGTTCGCTTGATAATACCCAGTGTTGTAAGCTTGGATGTGCAGGTGGTGTAAGGATAACGGCTCGGATTTTTAAATCTGAGAGCCGATTTCTAATTCCAGCCAGGTTCGTTGTATTCATTTACGCGCAAATACACTTGGCAAAAGATGTCGTTACACCTTTTCTTTCCCCCTCATCTATAGGTTAATGAGTAGGATTTGTATCAGTAAATTATTATTATTATCTCTAAAAATTCTTACAATTTACAAATATTTTCTGGCTTTAAATAACCCAAAAAGGGTAAGCCGTAAGAAGGAAATCAATAAAAAATTTTGCCACAGACACCTTTTTTTTTATCTGTTAATTGCTATGATATCTTGGCTAAAAGCCAAGTTGCATGTTCCTGTTGTATTTTCTGTTTTGAAATTCAGAACAATCCTTATCTTAAACTATCTGCTACTCAAGCCCGAAACATCCCAATTCACCCTGCTGTTTATAGAGGTGGCTGAGGAGAAGATACGTATTATAAACCCTTCGGAATGGTATGTATCGTATCCATATCTTCTCCCCCAGCTATAGGTTAAATAGGACTTATCTGAAAATCATTATCATCTCAAAAATTGTTAATATTCAAACGCAAGCAAAAATAAAAGAAAAAAAGTAATTATTCTTATAATTCAAAAATATTTTTCGGCTTTAAATAACACACAAAAGGTTGATAAGACGTAAAAACCGCCTATGAGTTTCATAACTTTGACGTATTACAATTGTTAGCAATGGTTGACATATTACAATGGTTAACAATGGTTGACATATTACAATTGTTAGCAATGGTTGACATATTACAATGGTTAGCAATAGTTGACATATTACAATTGTTAGCGATGGTTGACATATTACAATTGTTAGCAATGGTTGACATATTACAATGGTTAGCAATGGTTGACATATTACAATGGTATGTTCTTGGAAAGAATTCGGTAGTAAGTTGTGGAATAAGTACGACACAATAAAATTTGAAACCAGCAAATCGAGTTCAAATTCCGGCTGAAGCAGTCTATTCATAATTCGCACCAACACTGAATCTGAATCCACATCTTTTGACCTCATCTATGGGATGAGGAATAGGGTAAATTATGTTGGAAAATGGTCTAGAAGGATAATATGAGTTGAAAACCATGAGGGGGGGGCTACGTGAAACCACCATCTCTCCTATACACAGTCATAGCAAAATAATTTAAAGATATTAAAAGGAAAGGAAATGTAGAGGGCAATGTCCAGAAAAAGTATAAAATTCAAACCAAGCAACCTACACTAAATTATGGCGTTGCTTCAAGCAAAGGTAAGCACAATAAAATAAAGAATCTACTAGGGCGGTGTTCGGCGATAGGCAAAAGTCGGATTTTCGAATTTAATTTTCTACACAAAGTCTTCCCCACTTCCTGTATAATAGGCGTAACATGGTCTTCCTTGTTTTCCCATTTTTTTTTGTTCTAAATATCAATAAAACACTTGACATTCTCGTGCGATAAAACCATATTTACTATAGATGCAGGAGCACAGGGTTAGATCTGCGATAAAAGTTCTAATATTATTTTTCATTGCAAGAAGGCTCTTCCCAGTAAGATGAAAAGTTGCAAACTAATATTAACAATTGCCGTTTTACAACACTGCATGCGACTAGGATCTAACAAAACAATTTTTTGTAAATGTGAATAAGAATGTTGATGTATTTAAACTGGATTTTTCTTTGATAAAGATTCTAGCCAATATACATTGCGAGCGACATGGTAGGAAAACTTGTATTTCAGCGAGAGAAAAAAATTGCTAATATATAATAATGTGTTTTAAATGAATTTCTTTTCTTTTTTTACTTTGGAAAATATGTTGGCGCAAACAGGAAAAAACAAACATCGCTATACATCGACATTCATGTGGAAAAACAAAGCAATCAAATTTTGATAGGCTTCATAAGCAAATAATATTTCAAAATTGGGGATAGATAGATAGATAGATAGATAGATAGATAGATAGATAGATAGATAGATAGATATGAACAGATTGGGATAGATAGATAGATAGATAGATAGATAGATAGATAGATAGATAGATAGATATGAACAGACTGGGATAGATAGAGATAGATAGATAGATAGATAGATAGATAATGAACAGACTGAGATAGATAGATAGATAGATAGATAGATAGATAGATGGATGATATTTCCCCCACCCCAGATAATGAACAGATTGGGACAGATAGAGAGAAATTGCATAGATAGATAGATAGATAGAATGGTTTGCATGCATTCCCCCCACCCCAGGTCAATAACCTCAAATAAAATCTGCCGGGTTTTATGATGCTTCATAGAACATTTTGAAATCCATGTCATAATATAGTAGTAGGCACTAGATATTTTACATCCGTCACTGCCAGGCGTCTTTGTCCTTGAGACATAGAACATGCTGATTCGTGGTCAAATCCACAAACACTTCCCCAAATAAAAGATGCCGGGTTTTAGATAGATGATAGATGCCTCAGACTCAGTTATACAGATTTTAGATATTCCACCTGAAACAATGAATTTAATAGATAGTAGATAGAGGCACGGATATAGATTTTACATAGATAGATAGATGGATAGATAGGCGATAGATAGATGTGTCACATTCGATAGATAGAGATATTAGATAGAACATGTTAGATTTTCGATTCTCATAGATAGATAGATGGATAGATGGATAGCCAGACACATAGATAGACATGAACAGACTGAGATAGATAGATAGATAGATAGATAGATAGATAGATAGAGATAGATAGATAGATATGAACAGACTCGGATGATAGATAGATAGATAGATGGGATAGATAGATAGATAGATGAGATAGATGGATGATAGACAGACTAGATAGATAGATAG